AAACCCTAAACCCTAAACCCTAAACCCTAAACCCTAAACCCTCGCCTGGAGAGTTTGCTGCGTGCGCTGCAGCAACTTGGGAACCCTAAGCCCTAAACCCCAAACCCTAAACCCCAAACCCCAAACACTAAACCCTAAGCCCTAAACCCCAAACCCAAACCCCTTTGGGATTTCCCTAAACCCTAAACCCTAAACCCTAAACCCTCGCCTGGAGAGTTTGCTGCGTGCGCTGCAGCAACTTGGGAACCCTAAGCCCTAAACCCCAAACCCCAAACCCTAAACCCTAAACCCTAAACCCCAAACCCAAACCCCAAACCCCAAACCCAAACCCAAACCCCAAACCCTAAACCCTAAACCCTAAACCCTAAACCCTAAACCCTCGCCTGGAGAGTTTGCTGCGTGCGCTGCAGCAACTTGGAAACAATTTCTTTTTCTTGTTTTTCCATTTCTTGAATTTCTGCACTTTCAAACCCTAAAGGATCTCCGAGGGTTTGGCGGCGGCGGCGGAGGGTTTCGAGGCACTCTTGGTAGAGGTTGGGGCTGCTGCTCACCTGCGCGCAAACCCTAAACCCTAAACCCTAAACCCTAAACCCTAAACCCTAGGCCCTGGTCGTGGCGGCCACGTCCGCAGAAACGCACGCGCGAGGGTTTAGGGTTTAGGGTTTAGGGTTTAGGGTTTGGCCACGCGCACCCGAGTGCGGCTCATACGGCCAGAAGGCGGCTGCTGCAGGGCTGGTGACTCCGGCGAGGGTTTAGGGTTTGCGGCTTGCGACGAGGGTTTAGGGTTTAGGGTTTGCGAAACCCTAGCAGCGCGGCCCATCCCTCCAGACGTAAAGCGAGAGAAGTGCCTCCTCTGCTGCTGCTGCTGCTGCTGCAGCTGCTGCTGCTGCTGCTGCTGGAATTGCTGCTGCAGTTGGCGCGGCTGCAGCAGCAGCTGCTGCTGCTGCGCCGCCGCAGCAGCAGCAGCAGCAAGGGTTTGAAGCTTGCTGCTGCTCCAGTGCTGCAGTCTGCTGCAGCAGCAGCCGATGGGAACCCGGGCTGCCATTGCGAATCCCCGTAGTCAAAATTTAGGGTTTAGGGTTTAGGGTTTAGGGTTTAGGGTTTTGGGTTTAGAGTTTAGTCTAGCCTTCAAAGTTTACAGTGTAGCGGCTCGCGGGAGCTCGAGACGCCGTACGAGGGTTTAGGGTTTAGGGTTTAGGGTTTAGAGTTCGGGATTTAGGGTTTAGAACACCCAGATCTAAACCCTAAACCTCAAAACCTAATGAGAAATTCTAAGTTGGCTAAAACCCTTAAGGGTTTATAAACCTTCGCAGCCACGCCCTTGGGGCTGGTGTGCATGCGCAAGCTAGGGTTTAGGGTTTAGGGTTTAGGGTTTAGGGTTTAGGGTTTACCATTTGATATTTAGAGTTAATCCTAACATTTGTAACTAGTGTGTTGCGGCATTACAAATACCAAGAGCTACGCTAAACTCTAAACCCTAAACCCTAAACCCTTAACCCTAGGCACCGAACTCTAAACCCTAAACTCCAAACCCTAAACCCTCGCAACAGCAACGTTTTACTGTCTTCTAGGGTTTAGGGTTTGGGGTTCAGGGTTTACGCAGAGTGTACTTACAGTACAACTCGGTGGCTGCATTCATCCAACCAGCTCCTAGGGTTTAGGGTTTAGGGTTTAGGGTTTAGGGTTTAGGGTTTGACACAAAACGCCCTACTCTGCCGCTCAGCTTGAGCATGCTAGATTCATCAGGTTTTGGAGGAACAGATAAGAGCCCCTACGATTTAGGGTTTAGGGTTTAGGGTTTAGGGTTTAGTGTTCAGGGTTTGTCTGTTGCGCCTGCGGCGCACATACACTTCAAACCCTCAGACAGCCAGCGGATGTTTTGCATGCGAGGCCAGTTCTAGGGTTTAGGGTTTAGGGTTTAGGGTTTAGTGTTTGGGAGTTGGGCGTAGGCGCGAACCAAGCACATCGAACGCAGTAGCTAGCTGGCTAGCTAGCTAGCTAGCTAACTGGCTAGCTAGTTAGCTGGCCAGTTAGCTGTATAGCTAGCCAGCCAGCTATCTATTTACCCAGCTAGCCAGCTAGCTATCTGGCTAGCGATATGGCTAGCCAGCTGGCTAGGTGGCTAGCTAGCCACCTATCCAACTAGCTAGCTAGGAGGCTAGCTGGCTAGCTAGCTAGCTGGCTAGCTAGCTAGCTGGCTAGCTAGCTGGCTAGCTAGCTGGCTAGCTAGCTAGCTGGCTAGCTAGCTAGCTAGCTAGCCACGTGAGCCCGTGTGGCCGCAGTGGCCCTGTGGACAGCAAAAGAGGCAAATTTTTGATTGGAAAAAAGCAAGAAATGGACTTTTTCGAATTTGTTTGGAGTTTTTTAATTTTCGAATTTGCAAATTTTGAAAATTCAAAAGTGCGCATTTAAAGGTCCTTTTTGTTTGAGGTGTACGTACACCTGGGCCGTTTCCTCTGCAAATGGAATTCCTGAAGAACTTTAGTTTTTATTTCTCGGAGTTTTATTTAAAAGTTCTTATTGTTTATTTGATCATTTAGTTTTATTTCTTTTTGGATTTCTGTTTAAAAGTCCTAATTGTTTTTTTATTTGCGACTTTTCGCAATAATGGACTTTTCGCTGCAGCTAAATGCGGTGTATGTACACCTGCTGCATGCGTTTCTTACGTCCGCCCGCCGGACAAATCGGAAAATAAATAAACCAAAATAATTAAATTAATTAAATTAATTAAATTAATTAATTAATTTTATTAATTCATTTGCGAAGATCTGGTAATTTTAAGTGAATTCTTCTTTTGAATCCAAAAAAGATCAAACAAACATATGCACCACTTTGTCTGGTCCTCCGGCAATTTAAATGTACAAATAAATATAAATAAATACAAATATAAATAAATATAAACATAAATATAAATATAAATATAAATATAAATATAAATATAAATATGAATATAAATATAAATATAAATAAAAGTAAATATAAATACAATTTTGAATTTAAACGAATTTGCAGAAAAGATGTGTCGAAGTGCTGCATGCGCTCGCAGTGTACGTACACCCGGCGTTGGCGTTTTTTGCTCTATTTGCAAAAAAAGAAACTGCGATCTTTTTCGCGTTTTGAAGAGAACAAAACATCAAAATAAATATAATTGAAAGTAAAAATATAATTTAAACCTTTTTGACTCAAAGATTGTTTTGAAAAGCCCGCAAAATGGACCAAGGCTCGAGTGTACATACACCGCCTTTGCCGCATTTGCAAATAATTACACTTGCGAGCCTCGAGCCTGAAGTGCGTCATTTATTATTTTCCAAAGGCAATTGTGCCTTTAAATGGAATTTATTTCAAATGCATTTGAAGCTTTTCTTGAATAAGTCCATCAACTTTATTCAGATCTGCTAGCGGTTGCTTCGGCTGCAGCAAAAGCAGCCAGCAGCAGAAATAAGAAATTAAATTTCAATCATTTAATTGTTGGTTCGATGCCTAGCTAACAAGCCAGCTAGCTAGCTAGCTAGCTAGCTAGCTAGCTAGCTAGCCAGCTAGCTAGCTGGCTAGCTAGCTAGCTGGGGTCTAGCTAGCTAGCTGGCTAGCTAGCTAGCTAGTCAAAGAAAATAATCGGGGGTCCCCCGCAGCTGTTCAGCGCCTTCCAGTTGCTCGGGAGAAGGGTCGAACTGGATGCTGCGCACAAACCCTAAACCCTAAACCCTCAACCCTAAACCCTAAACCCTAAACCCTAGACCACAGAGACTACGTGCGGCCTCTTCAGCCCCTTTCCCGCGTCAAGCCTGAGCTCCCCCTTGTCCAGCGCGGCCTCGCGGGGCCCAGGAATTGGGGTTTAGGGTTTAGCCTAGGGTTTAGGGTTTAGCCTAGGGTTTAGGGTTTAGGGTTTACGGACAAGGAGTAGTTCATGCCTTCGTCGATCTGCAGAATGGCAGCTTTGTTGCCGCAGCGGTAGCAGTAGTTGGGCGCGGAGAAAAGAGTCAACACGTTGTGGCCTTGGCTCCACTGGTAGCCCTGCAGCAGCAGCAGCAGCAGCAGCAGCAGCAGCAGCAGCAGCAGAAGCAGCAAGGCAGCAGCAGAAGCAGCAAGGCAGCAGCAGAAGCAGCAAGGCAGCAGCAGAAAGTGAGCAGCAGAAGCAGCAAGTGAGCAGCGGAAGCAGCGAGGCAGCAGCAGCAACAGCAGCAGCAAGGCAGCAGCAGAAGCAGCAAGGCAGCAGCAGCAGCAGGAATGCAGCAGCAGCAAAGCAGCAGCAGCAGCAGAAAAGTCGAAAGAAATGTCGATCAGGAAGTCTTTACTGATGCTTTTTTAATATTTATTATTTATTTATCATTTATTAATTATTTTAATATCTTTTATTTTTAAATTAATATCCAAAACAGCAATTAATAACTAAAAGGAAAAGACTATTGAATTAAAAAAATATAAATAAATAATTTTAATTTATTTGTTTTTATTTATTCCCACAAATGATTCATTAGAAATAAAAAAAAGCAATCAAGTAATAAAAAAGATGCAACAAAATGTAAAGAAATAATAAAAAATAAAAAATAAATAAATAGTAAATAAATAAAAACAAACAAATAATAAAATAAATAAAATATAAAGACATTAAAACCTCCAAAGAATAAAATTACTCAAAGAAGAACAAACAAGTTAGTTACAAACAGAGACGCCAGAGGCGGCTAGGGTTTAGGGTTTAGGGTTTAGGGTTTAGGGTTTGGCACCTCCATCACGAGCTGGTGAGCCCTCGCTATACACTTGAGGCCATTTGCATGCAAAAACCTCTCCGAAATGTCCCGCCCAAACGTAAACCCTGAGCAGCAGCAGCAGCAGCAGCAGCAGCAGCAGCAGCAGCAGCAAACTTTATTCCGGCGGCCTGCTGCTCAGCTGCCACGAAAAGCCGCAGCAGCAGCAGCAAAAGCAGCAGCCGCAGCAGCGGCAGCCAACACTAACCGCGCAGCGCCAGCAGCAGCAGCAGCAGCAGCAAAAGCAGCAGCAGCAGCAGCAAGAGCAGCAGCTGCAAAAGCAGCAGCAGCAGCAGCAGCAAAAGCAGCAACAGCAGCGGCAAAAGCAGCAGTAGCAGCAGCAAAAGCAGCAGCAGCAGCAAAAGCAGCAACTGCAGCAGCAAAAGCAGCAGCAGCAAGCAGCAAAAGCAGCAGCAAAAGCAGAAGCAAAAGCAGCAGCAAAAGCAGCAGCAAAAGCAGCAGCAAAAGCAGCAGCAGCAGCAGCAAAAGCAGCAGCAGCAGCAGCAAAAGCAGCAGCAGCAGCAGCAGCAGCAGCAGCAGCAGCAAACCCACCGGCTCCTCGCGGCGATACTCCCCAGCCCTCGAGTTGGTCTTCCGGGTCCGACCACAGCAAGTCGCACATGGGGCCCTCGTGGGGCACTTCTTGCAGCCTGCGCAAACCCTAAACCCTAAACCCTAAACCCTAAACCCTAAACCCTAAACCCTAAATGATGAACACTAGACCCTGAGCTCTGGCAGTTGAGGGGAGGCACGAGGGTTTGGGCTGCAGGGTTTAGGGTTTCAGCGGTCGCTGCGGGGCAGCTACAGCCAAACAGAGCGCTAAACCCTAAACCCTAAACCCTAAACCCTAAACCCTAAACCCTAAACCCTAGCCTCGCTGCTCGCGACCGAACCCTTGACGCCCCAACCATACACCCACCCCCAAAACCCCAAACCGCAAACCCCAGCCTTCAACCCCAAACCCTAAACCCTAAACCCTTATCCCTGAACCCTAGACCCTAAACCCTAAACCCTAAACCCTAAACCCTACCGCTGCAGAGCCCGCACAGAGTCAAGAGAGTCCAGCTGAGGAGACAGCCCAGCGTGGGGACAAAAAATTTGTCCCTCTATTAAAGCGCTTAGAGGCAAGTAGTCGAAAACCCCTGCGAACCAAAACCCTAAACCCTAAACCCTAAACCCTAAACCCTAAACCCTAAACCCTGAAGCCTGGCGACTGCAGCGAGGCTTTTGGAATTGCGAAGTCGGATACTCTCAAAGGCAGGAGGCTATATAGGGTTTAGGCTAAACCCTAAACCCTAAACCCTAAAATAAAATTAATAAAAGAAATAAAAGAAGTAAAAAAGATATAAAAGAAGAATTAAAAAAGAATTAAAAAAAATTAAAAAAAAAAGAAATAAAAGAAAAAAGAAAAAAAGAAAGAGGAGAATTAATGAATCCAAAAAGAATAAAAATGCCAAAAAGAACATGAAAGCAGGACGCTAAAAAAGAAATAAAAAAGAAATAAAAAAGAATTGAAAAAGAAATAAAAAGAAATAAAAAAGAGATAAAAAAGAAATAAAAAGAGAATTGAAAAAGAAATAAAAAATAAAAAAGAATTAAAAAGTAAATAAAAAAAAGTAAAAATAAAACAAAACAAAACAAAACAAAACAAAACAAAATAAAACAGAATAAAACAAAATAAACTAAAACAAAATAAAGTAAAATAAAATAAATAAAATAAAATAAAATAAATAAATTAAATAATAAAATAAAACAAAATAACTAAAATAAAACAAAATAAAATAAAATAAATAAAATAAATAAAATAAATAAATTAAAATTAAAAAAATAAAACAAACCCGTGATGAGGTTCCAAACGTTGGCGTTGCCGTATTTGCGAATGCACTCATCGAAGAAGCCGTAGACCTGAAATAAATAAAAATAAAAAAATGAAATAAATAAATAAATAAATAAATAAATAAATTTATTTAATTAAATTAAATTAAATTAAATTAAATTTAATTTAATTTAATTAATTAAATGTAAATAGTTGGCTTGTTTGTTTGCGCAGATGCCGGAAAGAAAAGTCGAGAGAAAAAGAGAAAAAATCAACCCTAAACCCTAAGCCCTAAACCCTAAAAAGCCCTAAACCCTAAACCCTAAACCCTAAACCCTACACCATAAACCCTAAACCCTAAACCCTCGAAAACAAACCTGAGTTATTTGGCGGCTCTCGTGGTTGCCTCTTATGATGGTTATGCGGTGGCGATAACGGACCTGCACGCATATTTAAACCCTAAACCCTAAACCCTAAACCCTAAACCCTAAACCCTAAACCGTGCAAGACTCACACTGTGAACCCACGCCCTCTATGCCCAACCCCTAAACCCTAAACCCTAAACCCTAAACTCTAAACCCTAACGCCGCAGCAGGGCAGCGTCGTTCACGCTGCTACAGCCTGAACCGCAAACGCTTAACGCTAAACCCTAAACCCTGAACCCTAAACCCTAAACCCTAAACCCTAAACCCTAAACCCTAAACCCTGATTTACCTTGAGCAAAAACACGAGGGTTACACATTCTAAAGAGTTAAATCCTCTGTCAACGTAATCGCCGAGAAAAAGAAAGTTGACCGACGGGCAGGCTGCGCAACAAACCCCAAACCCCAAACCCTAAACCCTAAACCCTAAACCCTAAACCCTAAACCCTAGCCGCTACCGCCGACGGTAGACCCCAAACCCTAAACCCCAGCTAGCAGCGCCCGCTGCGGCCGCGGCCACTCCACCCCCACCGCCAAGCCCTAGCCCCTGCCCCCACCCTAAACCCTAAACCCTAAACCCTAAACCCTAAACCCTAAACCCTAAACCCTCACTGCCTGCGCATTTAAACATCTGCATCAAATCGTGGAACTGCCCGTGGATGTCCCCCACAACAGTCACGGGGGTGCTGACGGGCTGCACGTTCCCCTCCTCCATCAAGATCTCCTGCACGCAAACCCTAAACCCTAAACCCTAAACCCTAAACCCTAAACCCTAAACCCTAAACCCCAGACCCTAGACCCCAGCCGCTGCGGCGAGCCCTTCGGCGCGCTCTTGGGACGCCCCGCCCGCACCCCGCCCGCGCGCCCACACCCTAAACCCTAAACCCTAAACCCTAAACCCTAAACCCTAAACCCTAAACCCTGCCTTGAGTTTCTCGCAAAGGGCCTTCACTCTCTTTTCCCCCAAGGGTTTGCACTGCAGCACCAAACTCAAGTCCCCCTCGACAGCCCGCAGCTCCAAAGGAGACAAATAATGCGGGGGCAGCTGCGGGGGCAGCGGCAGGTGCGGCAGCAGCAGCAAACCCTCGTCTGCTGCTGCTGCTGCTGCTGCTGCTGCTGCTGCGGGGGAGGCCGGGGCCCCTGCTGCTGCTGCTGCTGCTGCTGCTGCTGCTGCTGAGGGCGGGGGAGAGCCGGCAGCACCGCGCGGGGACGCTGCAGGGCTCGGCGGGGAGCGAGACGCGGGAGAAGCAGCAGCAGCAGCAGCAGCAGCAGCAGCAGCAGCAGCAGGTGAGGACGACGGGTCGTCTGCTGCTGCTGCTGCTGCTGCCATTTTGGAGGGGGAATGAGACACACGAAAAATTGCTGCTGCTGCTGCTGCTGCTGCTAAGCTGTGGCAAAGCGCGGCCGCGGCAGCAACAACCTGCTGCTGCTGCTACCGCTGCTGCTGCTGCTGCTGCTCCAGCTCTTGCTGCTGCTGCTGCTGCTGCTGCTGCTGCTGCTAATGGGCGCTATCGGGGCCCCTCAAGGGGCCCTGAGACGTGGCATGTAAGGCCCCATGTCACGCTGCTGCAGCAGCTTTCTGCTGCTGCTGCTGCTGCCGCTGCTGCTGCTGCTGCTGCTGCTGCTGCAGTCCTTGCTGCTGCTGCTGCTGCGCGAAACGCTCCCACGGATCGTGCGTCGAAGCACCGCTAGCTTGGCTGCTGCTGCTGCTGCTGCTGCTGCTGCTGCTGCTGCTGTTCACTGATTTGATGTGTCTCGAGAGTTGACGGAACAGGCAGCGACGGTAAGCTGTGAGGGGGCCAGGGTTTAGGGTTTAGGGTTTAGGGTTTAGGGTTAGGGTTTCGGGCCGAGAACAAGGATGGTGTAAGCTGTAGGGTGCAGTGGCTAGCAATTCTAGGGTTTGGGTTTCGGGGTTTAGGGTTTAGGGTTTAGGGTTTTGGATGTAGGGAGTGTGGCAGCTTCCGGTCTCCACCCCCCAGGTCGTACAGCCCTCCGCAGCAGAAGGGTTTAGGGTTTAGGGTTTAGGGTTTAGGGTTTGAGAAAAGCAACGCGTCTTTTAGAAGACCAGTAAATCGCAGGACTTGAAGTCTAAGGGTTTAGGGTTTAGGGTTTAGGGTTTAGGGTTTAGGGCTTAGGGCTTCCGGGCGCAGCGATTCTCTGCATGCGTAGCCGAGCAGCAACCCGCTTTTGCTGCTGCTACCGACGCTTTTTCGAGGGTTTAGGGTTTAGGGTTTAGGGTTTTTTGTTGAGGGTTTAGGGTTTAGGGTTTGGGAGAAATAGAGAAAAGTTAGAGCTCCATCTGCAGACTCAACCGAAGACTGCAGACCCAGCCCGTGTGCGCCTCAGTCTAGAGCCCTAAACCCTAAACCCTAATTCCCAAACCCTCCGCTCAAACCCTAAACCCTAATTCCCAGACTCAAACCCTAAACCCTAGAGTGTCTGTACACCCCAGCGCTCGCCTGAGCTCTGCAGGAAGCAGCCGAGACATCCCAGCTGCTCTTTTGCTGCTGCAGCAGCAGCAGCTAGCTGCAGCAGCAGCAAGCTGCTGCTAGCAGCAGCTAGCTGCAGCTAGCTAGCTGCTGCTGCAGATGGAGAGACGCAGCAAAATGCACGGCTAGCTGCTGCTTGCTGCAGCTAGCCGCGGCTAATTAAGGGGGGTTTAGGGTTTAGGCCATCTACGCCGCATAAACCCTAAACCCTAAACCCTAAACCCCAGCACCGCGTGCGGATAATGGCGGCTACACGGCCTAAACCCTAAACCCTAAACCCTAAACCCTAGACTTCAAACTTGGGGTCTTCCGCTGCTGCTTGTTTCTCTGCTTGTGCTGTCCACAGCTAGCTGCAGCTAGCCACAGCTAGCCGCAGCAAGACGCAGCAGAGTGTTCTCTGGCCTTGGCTAGCTAGCTAGCTAACCAGCCAGCTAGCCAGCTAGCTGAGCCCTAGCTAGCTAGCTAGCTAGCTAGCTAGCTATGCAGCTGCATCTAGCATCAGCTACCTATGGCTAGCCACGGCCAGCTCAACAGCCCAGCCTTAATAGCCTGTGCTAGCTAGCTAGCTGGCTAGCTAGCTAGCTAGCTAGCTGGCTGGCTAGCTAGCTAGCTAGCTAGCTAGCAATCCATAGCTGCAGCTAGCCACAGCTAGCCACAGCTAGCTAGAGCTGCGCAAGCAGCTGCAGCTAGCCACAGCTAGCTGGGGCCAGTAACAGCTAGCCAGAGCTGAGAGTCCAAAGCGGAGGCCACCTGACTGCCTTCTAGGGTTTAGGGTTTAGGGTTTAGGGTTTGCGGCCAAAAGTTTCGAGGCTAGGGTTTAGACTTCTGCGTCTCCCGTGCAGTCTTTGCACGGCAAGGGCTTGGCAGGCCTTCAGCTCGAGGGTTTAGGGTTTAGGGTTTAGAGTCTAGGGTTTAGGGTTTAGAGTCTAGGGTTTAGGGTTTAGGGTTTAGAGGGAGTCGAGTGCTTCCTTAATGGACTTTTGGTTGAGGAGGAAGTTGAGGGAATACTCTGCTTTCTCCTTGGTGCTAAGAGCATCTGCGCAGACACAAACCCTAAACCCTAAACCCTAAACCCTAAACCCTCGGCTGTGGCCCCCACGCCAGTACCCCGCTGCTGCTGCAAAAGCAGGCAGTGGTTTAGGGTTTAGGGTTTAGGGTTTAGGAGGAAGGCGACAAGAAGTCCAGGGCGACAGCCTCTTACGCGAGGGACGAGGATTTTGGCCAAACCCTAAACCCTAAACCCCAAACCCTAAACCCTAAACCCTAAACCCTACCGTATTTCTGGTTGCAAAAGGACTGCAGCAGATTCTTCGTAAAGACCCCAGAGGCCTCCAGTCGCTGAGGGTTAAAGCGAGCGCGAATTAAGTTGGCGTCTAGTAAACCCTAAAGGCCCACAAACCCTAAACCCTAAACCCTAAACCCTAAACCCTAAACCCTAGATCCTAAACCCTCGCGCCGTTTGTGGCTGCCGCCCTCTCTTCGGGAAACTTTGTTCGCTTCTGCCTGGCTTTATCGCAGGTGTGTTCCCCCAAACCCTAAACCCTAAACCCTAAACCCTAAACCCTCACCAGAACAATGGTGTTGTTTATTTTCGCCAAGTCCCCGCACAAGAGATATGGCCTTCTTAGAAATTCGCGAATGGTCTCGCACACCTAAAAACACAAACCCTAAACCCTAAACCCTAAACCCTAAACCCTAAACCCTAGGCGCTCATCACTTGGTCTTGAAGCACCCTTAATCCCATAATTCTCATTCTCTTACCCTCAGTCCGAATTCTCTGCCAAGCACGACTTCCCTGCATCCCTAAACCCTAAACCCTAAACCCTAAACCCTAAACCCTAGCTCACAACAACGAGAAAATGGACTTCGTTTTTGCTGACTTCCCGCAGTTTCCTTAAAAGCGGAAAATTCAGAAACTGAATGACCATTAGCTCAAACCGACGAAACTCCTGACACACGCAAACCCTAAACCCTAAACCCTAAACCCTAAACCCCTCCCAGCAAGAATTGCTGCTGGCTCACGGAGAGCTCAGTCTTAAAAACAGCGCGTAGGAATAAACCTGAGCCTAGTGTCCTTGGCTCTGCTCCTCAAACCCTAAACCCTAAACCCCAAACCGCAAACCCTAAACCCTAAACCCCAAACCGCAAACCCTAAACCCTAAACCCTAAACCCCAGATCTTACCTCAACTAGAAGTGTTTCCGACATAACCCTCAGCCTCTGCTGCTGCATGCGATGCACTTCCAAAAACTTATTAACTACATCTGCGGGGGGCCCCCCTTGGTCGTGGGGGCCCCCCGGGGGGCCCCCCAGGGGGCCCCCCAGGGGGGCCCCCCGGGGGGCCCCCGGGGGGCCCCCCAGGGGGGCCCCCAGAGTACCCTGGGGGCCCCCAGCTAAGGGGTTTGCCCTAAATGGAGTGGCAGCAGCACGCAGCAGCTCTCCTTGGAAAAAAGCATTTCTTTTTAGAATTGAAAAGTCTAGGGGGGCCCCCTGAGGGGCCCCCGAAAAGGGTTTAGGGTTTGTAGAAAAGGGTTTATTATCCCCCGAAAAGGGTTTGTCGTCGTCAAAGTCTCGAGCTGCTGCTGCGGGGGCCTCCGAGGGTTTAGGGTTTGGGCGGGAGAGCTGCTGCAGCAGCTCTGCAGTCGCCTTCTGGAGGTCGCTGCACCACAAACCCTAAACCCTAAACCCTAAACCCTAAACCCTAAACCCTAGTCCCGCGTTGGCAGGTAGCGGTTTGGTGCAGCAGGCGCAGGGGCTTGCAGGAGTGACTAAACCCTAGGCTTCGAGCCCTAAACCCTTAGGCTTGACCCCCAAAACCCCAGTCGCAAACCCTAAACCCTAAACCCTAAACCCTAAACCCTAAACCCTCACTCGAAGATCAGCCGCAGCAGCCTCGGGTGGCCCCCAACCGCTAAGTAGGAAGCCTCAGCGACAGTCGAGTCAGCGCAGAGCAGCGGCTCAAACAAAACCCTAAAACACCACAAACCCTAAACCCTAAACCCTAGCCCCTGAGCCCTTGGCCCCAAACCCTAAACCCTAAACCCTGAAGGTCAAGCCCAAAACCCCAAAAAGCGCGACAGGAACATGCAGGAATGGCCCCAATAGTGACTCCAAACCCTAAACCCTAAACCTAGACCCTAAACCCTAAACCCTAAACCCTAAACCCTAACCTGGCATCTGCCTTGCTGAGCTCATCGAGTTCGAGCACCTGAACCCTGCTAGGGTTTGCGCCTTGAGGTGTATGTACACCCCAAACCCTAACAGCAGTTACGCTGTCTGCAACAGCCAAGACTGTGCCCACTCGGCGTCTTTCCTGAGTCCCAAAACAAAGGGTTTAGGGTTTAGGGTTTAGGGTTTAGGGTTTAGGGTTTGGCAGGGAAGCGCCCTGTGCGGGCCCAGCAGCGCTTCCTAGGACCGGCGCGCTCTCAACTTAGCACCCAAACGCCGCCCCAAACCCCAAACCCCAAACCCTAAACCCTAAACCCTAAACCCTAAACCCTAAACCCTAGCTCACTGCTGTTGCAGCCTCAATAAGAGCTTCAAAAAAACCCGAACCTCCAAGCCGCAGCGGCTCTCCCTCAAGCAGCGCTTCGGGGCACCGCAGCAGCAGCGTCCCCGGGCGCTGCGCCGCAAACCCTAAACCCTAAACCCTAAACCCTAAACCCTAAACCCTAGACCCTAAACACCAAAGCTTAAACCCTAGGTCCTAGACCCTAGGCCTTAGAGGCCAGCGAATGCTTGTTACGCCTCAGGCAACATGCATGCAAGCACATGCGGTTTAGGGTTTAGGGTTTGGGGTTTAGGGTTTAGGGTTTAGGGTTTAGAGGCTTGCCCCTGTGGACTGCTCCGCAAACTCCAAGGTGGCGTAAAGACACTCCAGCCACTGCAGAACAAACCCTAAACCCTAAACCCTAAACCCTAGCCAGAAAACCCTAAACCCTAAACCCTAAATAAAGGTTTGTATTCAAACAACGCGCTAAAGTTCAGCGATCAGTTGTGCCGTGGTTTGAGGCAAAGTCTGCGATGATCATGGATTTAGGGTTTAGGGTTTAGGGCTTAGGGTTTAGGGTTTAGGGTTTAGGGTTTAGGGTTTGCGTCACCTCCTTTGCAGCTGCTGCTGTCAGCTCCCCTCCAGTTCTTACCAAAGCAGCCTCACTCAGCAGCTGCAGCGCAGCCCTGTGTACGCACCTAAACCCTAAACCCTAAACCCTAAACCCTAAACCCTAAACCCTAAACCCCAAAACCTAAAGCCCTAAACCCTAAGCCCAAGCCCTATGCTCGATAAGCAGCAAGTCCAGCGGGTTACAAAAGGCTTAACCCGCAGCACAAACCCTAGACCCTAAACCCTAAACCCCAAACCCTAAACCCCAAACCCTAAACCCCAAACCCTAAACCCTAAACCCTACGCAATGGCAGTGGCGGGTTTAGAAGCCGACATGTTGTCGGGACCGGCGATAGCCTCAACCACCTCTCCCCACACAGCCTCGCCCTGCAGCAGCAGCAGCAGCAGCAGCAACAGCAGCAGCAGCAGTAGCAGCAGCAGCAGTAGCAGCAGCAGCAGCAGTAGCAGCAGCAGCAATAACTAGACAAAGATGGCAAGCTGGGAGCAGCAACGGCGTAACACCGGCAGCTGCAGCAGCAGCACCAGCTGCAGTAATAGCAGCAGCAGCAGCAGCAGCAGCAGCAACAGCAGCAGCAGCAGCAGCAGCAACAGCAGCAGCAGCAGCAGCAGCAGCTCACCCTCTCAACTTGGACCTGCAACTTAGAAACCCTTTCTCTCCCTCTAGGGTTTAGCGCCACCCATTCTAAGGGGCCCCCAGGGGCCCCCGCTGCTGTTTGCTGCTGCTGCTGCTGCTGCTTCCTTGCTGCAGCAGCAGCAGAAGCAGCAGCAGCAGCACGGAGAGCAGCGCTGGCGCTCGCAGCAAAAGACGAGCAGCAGCAGGCAACGTGCTGCAGCAGCCCCGACCTGAGCAGCAGCAGCAGCCGCAGCAGCAGCAGCAGCAGCAGCAGCAGCCGCAGCAGCAGCAGCAGCAGCAGCATGCACTTATCAAGGCTTGGGCCTTGGGCCTTTGGCGAGGCCTAGGCATAGGCGCGTAGGCCGCTCGAAAGAGCTAGGGTTTAGGGTTTAGGGTTTACGGTTTAGGGTTTAGGGTTTAGGGTTTACGGGTTCACGCCACTGCATGCAGCCCCGAGCTGCCGCGTTGCTGCTGCTGCTGCAACAGCAAAAAAGCTTCTGAAGGATCTGTTAGCCATCAGGCCCACGTCGAACGCCAGCAGCTGCACTCAAACCCTAAACCCTAAACCCTAAACCCTAAACCCTAAACCCTAAACCCTAAACCCTAAACCCTAGGCAGCCGCTGACGCAGTCGAAAGGGCGCAGGGTTTACAGCAGCGAAACCGCCACTGCCAGTGGGGGCTTTCTAGAGAGCCACCTAAACCCGAAGCAGTCAAACCCTAAACCCTAAACCCTAAACCCTAAACCCTAAACCCTCACAATGGGCCGCCGGCTTTGCTGCTGCGACAAACGTGCTGCAGTGTCCCTCAGCAGCGCAGCTTTGCCGCTGCCCTCGGGGCCCGTGAGCAGCAGCAGCCCTAAACGCAAACCCTAAACCCTAAACCCTAAACCCTAAACCCTAGCCCTCAGCAGCTCTTCAGAGAGCCTCGACTGCTGCCTCCCGCTAGGATCAACCTCTAGGGTTTAGGGTTTAGGGTTTAGGGTTTGGGGTTTACGGGAGTCGCCTCTTTGGCCACTTAAAAATAACTCCAGGATTCTTGAGGGTTCTTCCCGCCGCACAAAACCCCACAGAGAAGCCCGGGGGTCCCCCCTTGCTGCTGCTGTTGCTGCTGCTGCTGCTGTTGCTGCTGCTGCTGCTGCTGCTGCTGCTGCTGCTGCTGCTGGTGCTGCAGTAACCCCCGCAGCAGATGCGCTGTGGGCCGCGACGGCAGCGCTGAACTGCTTCTGCTGCTGCAGCTGTTGCAGCTGGTGCTGCTGCTGCTGCTGCTGCTGCTGCCGCTGCTGCTGCTGCTGCAGCCGTTGCTGCTGCTGCAGCAAAGCGACTGCAGCAACAGATCGCCACTGCTGGGGCCCCCGGGGGGCCCCAACTGTCTGCTGCTGCAGCAGCAGAGCGCGAAAGGAGCGCAGTCCCATCTCTAAACCCTAAACCCTAAACCCTAAATCGTGCCCATCCCCAGAGAAATGAGGCCCAGGTGGCAGCCCTGAGTCGCAAACCCTAAACCCTAAACCCTAAACCCTAAACCCTTAGTCAGTGCTCCAAAAATTCAGAAACCCGAAAAGACAATATAATAAAATATATATTAGGGGCCCCCGGTGTGCTCTCTGGGGGCCCCCGGGGGCCCCCTGGGGGCCCCCAGGGGGCCCCTGGGGCCCCCGGGGGCCCCCCAAAGATCAAGAGTTTATTTCGACTTGAGAAAACCCTAAACCCTAATAAATTCTAGATTTAAAACCCTAAAATTTCACAAAAGAGAGGACGCCTGGCGGTTGCTTCCGAGGAGTTAGGGTTTAGGGTTTGTCGCTGATTTAGGGTTTAGGGTTTGGGAGTTCTGCAGGCTCCCTGGAGGCATGCAGGGCCAAACACCGCATTCGTGCTCCCCAAGCGCTAAACCCTAAACCCTAAACCCTAAACCCTTGCAGCTCAGTGCTCCTGCTGCACGGCACCCCCGTGCAGCAGCTGCTGCTGCTGCTTATACACGTTGGAACTGCAGCAGCAGCAGCAGCAGCAAAAGCTGCTGCTGCTGCTCTTTATGTAGGCCACTAGAGCAGCTGCAGCAGCTGCAGCAGCACAAAGTTGGCCACCGCTGCACCCTAAACCCTAAACCCTAAACCCTAAACCCTAAACCCTAAACCCTAAACCCTACGCGGAAAATTACAAAGGCAAGACCTCTAAACTGCTGCTGCTGTGGGGCCCCAGCAGCAGCAAAAGTTTGTGACAAAGGTCTCGGGGGCCCCAGGGCCCCTTAGGACAAAATCTAATAGCAGCAGCAGCAGCAGCAGCAAGTGCTGCTGCTGCTGCTGCAGCAAAATTTGCTGCTGCTGCTCCTGCTGCAACCGTTGCTGCAGCAAGTGCTGCTGCAGCCACTGCGGGTAACCTGTGGCCATCAGCGCTGCCACGCCCACCGCCAAACCCTAAACCCTAAACCCTAAACCCTAAACCCTAAACCCTAAACCCTAAACCCTGTTTTGCGGAGTGCAGCAGACGCAGAGCCTCAGCAGCAAAATGCTTCGGGGTTAGTTTTGCTGCTTCGAGTTGCTGCTCTCTTGTTGCTGCTTCGATGAAGGCGTCCGGCAGCGTCAGCGACCGCACCTGCAGCCAAACCCTAAACCCTAAACCCTAAACCCTAAACCCTAAACCCTCGGCGGCAAACCCTAGACCCCAAACCCTCGCCCTAAACCCTCAGCTGCAGCTTGTCTAGGGTTTGCGCCGGCCGAGTGCCCCTGCGCGGCTGCAGCGCGCAGGCCCTAAACCCCAAACCCTAAACCCTAAACCCTAAACCCTAAACCCTAAACCCTCACCAAGGGTTTGCGGCCGTCGAGGGCCCCTGCCTGCAGCAGCGCAGCAATTGCTTTGCTGCCAAACCCTCCTTGGGCCCCTTCTTCTATAAAGATTAAACCCTCATGAGCAGCAGCAACAAGCAGCAGCAGCTGCAGGTCCAGCGGCCGCAGAAAACGCGCGTCCGCCACAGTAACCCCTATCAGCGGCCTCTCTGCTGCTGCTGCTGCTGCTGCTGCTGCTGCTGCTGCTGCTGCAGGTGCTGCTGCTGCTGCTGCAGGTGCTGCTGGTGGGGGCAGTGGGGCAGGGGCTGCTGCTGCTGCGGCTGCTGGGAATGGGGGGAGGGGAGGGACGGAAGCCCGTGCTGCTGCTGCTGCTGCTGCTGCTGCTTGTGCTGCTGCTGCTGCTGCTGCTGCTGCTGCTGCTTCTCCTGGCTCGGGTATGGTGGTTATTTGCTGCAGCATTTCTGCTGCCTTCACTGCGTCGAGCAAAAGGGCCCCGAGAGACACAAAGGCCACCTGCGCACCCACCTCAAACCCTAAACCCTAAACCCTAAACCCTAAACCCTAAACCCTAAACCCTAACCCCTATGGATGCACTCCAAAGACAATGAACTGAGCGCGTGCAGCTCGGGCTGCACGAAAAGAGCGCCCAGTGGGCTCGGTGTAGCTTTAGGGTTTAGGACCTAGGGTTTAGGGTTTAGGGTTTAGGGTTTAGGGTTTAGGGTTTACCTTGAACTTTGCCTTGGGGTTCGCGTGGAGGATAATGCGGCCTTTTCCAATTGGTAAGGGATCTGCTTCTTGCGGCATCTCCTTTATGTTGTGTCAAACCCTAAACCCTAAACCCTAAACCCTAAACCCTAAACCCCAAACCCTAAACCCTAAACCCTTGAATTGGCAGCTGCAGCGCTTCTTTTCTCTTGTTAAACACACCAGCCACGGCTGCCGCATTCAGCTCAGGGCCGAGTATTCAAAGCTAGGGTTTAGGGCACGGGTTTAGGGCCAGAGATTAGGGTTTAGGGTTTAGGGTTTAGGGTTTAGGGTTTACCCCAGCTTGCTGTTGAGGGCTTCCAGGCCAAAGCAGGAGCGGCGCGGGAACCGGATAGCAGAAGGGCCCGAGTCTAACAAATACGCTGTCTGCAAACCCTCACCGCAAACCCTAAACCCTAAACCCTAAACCCTAAACCCTAAACCCCAAACCCTAAACCCTTCGCTTCAGGCCTCGCAAGCCCTCGGGAGTTGGACAGCTGCTGGTAGCAGCGCGCGCCGCCCCCGCCCCGCCCGCACGCCCGCCCCCAAACCCTAAACCCCAAACCCTAAACCCTAAACCCTAAACCCTAAACCCTAAACCCTACCTTGAGCATGCGCAGCAGCTCGAGTTCGTCGCTGGGGGCCATTACTGTGAAGTTCGGCAAATGGCCCAAAAGAGATAAATCAAAAGCCCCCTGGTGAGTGCTGCCGTCTGCGCCCACGAGGCC